AAAAGGGAGAGAATCGGACGTTCAATGAGGATAATTATGTCCGCACGGAGTGGCTAACTGGAAGCGCTAAACTTCAGCGTCTATTTTGCTGGCCATGTCTTCTTTTTGACAAGGATTCGTGCTCCCTGAACAATCCTTGGGCAACTTCAGGAATCATCGACCTGTCACGGGCAATTGAGAGGCACGGTAAATCCAAAAATCACATAGATTGTGTGATTGTCTGCATTAAATTAATAAGGAGAGAGTTTCAGCTGGAGAGTGCGTGCGGACCTTTCGGTTAGATAACAGGCGTGTGCAAGTCCTGCATCTGTGTGATACAAATGTGTGTAAAATGATACCGAGCGCTCTAATCACTCATCTGGTTACGTTATTGACCACCCCCCCCCCACCCAAAAAATGGGCTTCCCCTACATTTTTCCCCACGCCACGCTACTGCTCCCCACAGCAGCTTATCAACAGAGGCAGACTTCCTCATCGCCTGCTCCTGCAGCAGGGCATTCCCACAGCCCCAGGCCTCACTCTCTCTCAACTCCGAGAGCTCTCGGACCAGGTCTCCAGCGTAGCTCCCCAGTCCGGGGCAGCAGCTCCAGTCAGCTCCCCAGAGAGCAGGGCGAGGACGCGGAGGTAAAAAAAAGGAAAAAAAAAAGGGCAGGAAGTCGAGCCCTCCAGGATCCCATCCGCCTCCAAAATCCACCCCTTCCCAGGCTCGCCAGTCCGAGAGCGTCACTAACACACCCCTTATGGAGAGTAGCGTGGCCGGCTCCCTGCAAACCCTGGCTAGCTCCATGATAGCTATTGATGCTCGCCTCCAGGCCCTGGAAGACTCCGTCACAGGAGCTTCAACTTCCGTTGCACTCAGGTACTAGTTTTAACGAAAATGTTTGCACTCACCCTTACACAGGGTTGGGTCGTAACGGAATACATGTAACGGCGTTACGTAATCAGAATACAAAAAATCAAGTATATTCAGCTGGCGTTACATTTGAAAAACGAGTAATCTGAGTACAGTTACTTTCGTAAACCTGAAGTGAATACTTGGTGGAAACGTTTCCTCACAATAGGTAATATTCATTACCGGCAGAACCATGTGCACACTGCACAGCGCTGCAGCGTGTCTGCGAGCGAGAGATGCAGCGTGTCTGTGAGGCCCCGCCCCCGCACGCAGATGAGAGAGAGAGAGTTCTCTTTCAAAATATATTGAAAGGTAGAAACGGAGATGGTTAGATAAAACGTTGAAGATAACGTTTATGTAGCATTTATTTATTGTCGAAATGATGACATTTATAACGGGATCAAATCAAACTGAATGGCCTGCTGAATGCATGGGGCAAGTGACTGGGAAAAGTTTTAAAATTATTACATCGTTTCAGATAATAAATAATAATGATAATTCATTCCATTTAGGGGCGCCTTTCAAAGCACCCAAGGACACCTTACAATGCATAACATATTCCAAGGAAAGGTTTTAAGACAGTACAAAGAATGCAGTCTGGGTGAGTTTTTTATGTGTGGTGCAGATGAGAGAGCTGTCCAGAATGACACTAAGATGTTGTGTTTGTGCTCTTCATAAGCCATTAAAACAGTAAAATACGTGTCTCCCGTTCACCAAAACATACCCATCCGTTATGGAAAGAAGTATTCCCAAGAAAAAGAAAAAGAAAGAAAAGATAAAAAGAAGAAGAAAGAAAAAGAGAAAATATTATATAATAAATATAATAAATAATTATGCACATTTACAGATATTTTACATGATATGAGTGATAACACGTGTTATAAGGGCTATTTTGCACAATAGGTGTGCCTTGAGATTTTTACTTGGGAAGTTTGGGAACCACTGCTTTAGAGAATCCGAATGCACTGACACTATCCGACGTGTTTATGATGCGCCAGCGGACGTCATTGTGTGCGTCTGCTGCTGTGGGGAAACTATGGAAACTACAGTTTTCTATACAGCAGACTACAACATGGATGTATAATAAGAACGAGGGACTACTGTAAACTCATCTAGAGACTCTGCACCGTGCTCTGATGCTGTTGTTTTATGCTTTATGAATGTGGACAACAGAGAAACATATTATTCATGACCAAAGTTGGAATTGAAATAAAAAAGGAAAGTGAAACTTATGCTCGTCACCCTCTCCCTCCGGTCCACATTTATACAAATGATCCCAATACGTATGATTGTATGAACTATGAAAAGATCTTAAAATAAATACAGATGTATTTATTATAAACGTTAGTCCTTAACACCTATCACTGAGTATATCACCATTCAATCATCTTTTAAAAGTTGAACAAACCCCACAGCTCAGTAAAGACTGTGAGATGTTGACTTTATTTGATCATTTCAGTAAAAACTAACGTTCATATTTCTCTTTTCGATTATAATACTGATGAACGTTCAAAACAAAGCACTTTGGCAACTTACCACATACGTTTTAAAAAGCTTAATACGCACCGTAACTTTCATGATATAATTTATCGGTCATAATCGGTTGTTTCCGTGAACAGCCGACTGTTGTGTGACGGCAAATGCTGCGGCTGCAATGCATTGTGGGGCAGCATTTTCTCCTCTCCTTTCTGTTAGGGAGGTCCAGTGGTTCCTAAACTAAAGGAGGTTATAAAGGAAGTTTGAAACCTCCTTTCCTTTCATTTGGAGAATTGGAACGGCACTTAACATGGCTGCCACTGACGTACTTCCGGGTCATTTCACTTGGTTAGAAAGGTTCCTAAGCTAAATGGACTATTGGACTGCAACCCTGCTGAAAGGAGACCATAGTGGTTCAATTCATATTTGCAAACACGTTGAGTAAAAGTTTGATCAATGGCTACGTGAACACTCTTTAAGTGATTGTGAGACCACTGTGACCGTGAGACTGTCTCCAATTACACACAGAGGGAACTCTATCCCGGCAAAGGATTCACAAAAGGTTCCTGCCTTGACTCACTGGGGAAGTGCACACAAAAACCACAATGGAACTTTTCTCTGCACACTTTAGTGAAACTAGAATAGACACACATTACTTAGTCTTATCTTTTGGATGTGGTCAGTCTATCTCAGCTAACATTCTGGAGTCTTCTTTGAGTCACAAAAAAAACCTAATTGTTATACATGACAATGTTTTTCTTGGATTTAATTATATACTTTCAATGATATAAAACAATTCTAACATTTTGAATTAGGGATAGTAATTAGTGGTATGTTAGAAGCCTAAATTGTGAACATATTTTCTGAACAAAAATACAATTTAGTATGAAAAGAAGCAGCTTTTAGCTAACAGTTAAGGTGCATTATCATCAGCTATAGAAACAAGCAGGTTTATTGGTCTCCCTGAAGGGGAAAATAACTTCTGGTAGATGATTCAGGTGAGACTGAAATTACATTTTAGGTGGGATGAGATACAGAAAATGCACCGAAGGCATGTATATACCTGACAAATGTTTGTTTGAATACTGCAACATTTCTGTGTGTCTTATAAAAGCATGTGGGATGGGCACTTGTAAATTACATGTACAGTAACTGTTTCTTTAAATTGCCAACTTCATCTACCTAACGTGGCGCCCCCTTCTGGATTTGAGACCACAGTACACTAACCATCAAATCACATTCATATTCCAATGCTATTCTGGGAAAATAAAGAAATGTGGAAGAATTTGTTTGCATGTTCCCAAACCATTTTTAAAATTATTTTATTCTATAGTTCTTCACTTAATTTGTATTTTCTCCTTTCATGTTAATTGGTATGCAGTAAGATAAACACCTATGTGAATTACGTACTTACCTAACTTACCAATGAAATCTGATCAAATCATTAACATCAGGCCCTATTTTTATGGAACTACAAAAATGCTCATCATTTTATTGAGACAATAATTGTTGTGTGTATATTGTTTGCGTTTTGGATGACCAATCATTTCATCAAGTCTTACTATAAAGTCTATATAGATGTACTCCAAAGCATCAGAAACAGAGTACACTTACATTTATTAAGCCCTCATTTCCAGTTTAGAATATGTTCTATTAGACTGTAAGTATGATTGGACAGTGTGAGACTTATGTATTCTTTAATATATTTTATTACATGGCTTAGTTGAATACTCGATTCTGATGGGTCAATTCAGAACACGTGACACGTTGTTAATCCAGTAGTACAGACCGCTGTCAAGGATTTATTGACCGTTGTTAAGGACGCTCACATCTGCAGAAAGTCCGGTCGATTTAACTGTATACAGTTTGGCCGAAAAGCAGACTGCATGCAGTTTGCTTGTCTTTAGTTTTCCGTTGTCTACCGTCTGAGAGCAACATGGAGGATTTTAAAATATTTGGAGAACACAGTAATGTGGATGAATGGTTAGTGGCTGATGAGTCGCCAGTGAAGAAAAGAAAAAGACAAGAGGGACAAGAAAACAGCGGAGAAGTAACGGGGCATCCTCAACACGGAGCTGCGGTCCTTTTTACGCAACGGTCCAGACATAAACATCAAAACATATTCAGTTGCTAGTTACTTTGGCATTAGGGCAGGGATATCTAGATACTTCCGAAGGTTTGACTTAATGAATTGTGCTACTTTTAAAGCAAGCAACGATGTTTTCAAATCTGTAATCAAAAAGGTCCGCAAAAACGCTATCGAAGCAGTTCCTGACGTTTCTACATAGTTCAAATGGTAACAACGGACTATTTTTCTTAGCGGATGCATGCCATTCTAAATCAATAAAACTATTTTTTAAATCAATAAAAACACTTTCTAAATCTATAAAAGCATTTCAATTAATATTGGGAGTAATGTCGTTACTTTGTTGAGAATGTGGCCTTGTAATAAGCGGGATAAGGTGCAGCGACTTGGTCATTATGGGTAAAAGAACATGGGTTATTTTACCCATAATGACCGGCTCACTGCACATTATCCCTTACATAATATATGAATGGACTACGTTTTACACATTGTGTCTTTGATAACTTTCTGGTAGCCTTGTTGACAAAATAAGAAGAAAAGACAAACTTAAAAAAAGAAACGACCTTTATTGAAGACATTCTTCAATGTCAACAGCTGCTTTTGATATTAGAGTGGTATTCAAAGAACAATAAAAAGACATTGGGACGTCACATAAAAAAATATTTTTCAAAATAAAGAATACATTACCAACTCGGAATCTTATTTTTGAGTTGTAACACCTAAAGACTATTTACCTTTATACTGATTTTAAGTCCTCCCTTACTGTTACATATAGCAGGAGATAGTACTAGCACTAGAAAAAATCCCAAAGAAAAGATATGTAGCGTTAACTTTACAAAAAAAGGAGAATAACACTGTACATCTTAGAAACATTAAATATACACATGTTCTTGTTCAATCTGACTTATGTTTCAAGATGGTGAATTTAATATAGTAGGGTTATATGGCATAAACAAAAATTCAGGTCCCACCCCCATGCCGTCTACTCATCATCGTCATCATCATCTTCCTCTTCATCTTCGTCATCATCATCGTCGCCGTCGTCCGCTGCTGCTGCTGCTGCAGGAGGTGCTGCGGCCTCAACTGTGCCCTTTGTGCGGTATGCAAGGACATCCTTTGGAGGCAATCAAGAGTGTTACAGAGGATCTAAATATGATTATCAGATTCAAGAAAAAACAAGTTGAGCTTTGTCTATTTACCTTGTCATACTTCTCCTTCAACTTGGCTCCCTTCCTCTCGTATGGCTGTTTGTTCTCTGCAGAGGAGGTGTTCCACATCTCTCCCAACTTCTTTGCAGTGTCCCCAATAGTAAGTCCAGGGTGCTCGCTTTTTATCTTTGCACGAAAGTCACCGCAGAACAGGAAGAATGCAGACCTGAGGGGGGAAATGTATCAAATAAGTTAAAATATCACAGTCCACTTGGCACTGTCAAAAGTGTAGCAATTGTATTATGGTCCCTTACGGTGGTCTCTTGGGGGCATTGGGGTCCTTGAATCGCTTCTTCCTCTGGCCGGCTGGGGGATCGTAATTCTGCATGTCCCTCTCATAACGCACCTTGTCTAGTTTGGCTAAATCTTCAAACTTGCCCTTCTCTTTCTGTGACATTGTCTATGGGAAGAAAAAACAGTGTTAAACATCATATAAGACAATCTGATGAAAACACATTTTGGATTATAAAAATAAAATTCAGATAATAAGTCATGATTTTACCTTCCATCGCTCAGAGCATTTCTTTGAGAACTCAGAGAAGTTGACAGAGGCTTCAGGATGTTTCTTCTTATGCTCCTCTCGGCATGTTTGTACAAAGTAGGCATATGAGGACATTTTGCCTTTCGGCTTTCCCAAAACCTTCACCATCTTGGATTGCTAAATAGAAAAAAGAAATATAAGTATATGTTTTTTAAATAAATATATCCAAGTCTACTCATGCAGCAGCAGTGCCAATATCTAAATATCACCCAAATTAAAAGGAGGCCTATTGCTTTGTCAGTTCCACCTATTGTTTAAACCGGGTGGTGGGAGGAGGGTCTCTGGGATGACTAATAAGTAACCCATTGTATGTAAGGACAACATGATGCTCTAATACAACACATTAGTGTCCTGGTATGTATTTCCAACATGCATTCACGGTGATAAAGTACAACGTTACTTAAAATACATGTGTGGTAACTATATTACCTGGTGACGTAATTAGCCTTTTATTAATATAACATGTAGATGCAAATATTAGCATTAGCTTCCACAGCCTTTCATTGTTAGTCACCGTCCCTTGCCATTGCTTTGTGTCCCCTTGCCTTCAGCATTAGCATTTAGCTAATGCTAGCTAGCGGGCATGACAAAGAGCTCATTTCAGGAGAAGATTATTAAAATGGCTGATTTGATTGCGAACAATTGCTATGCTATCACGTGCCCCCCGGCTCTTATAAGGCCTTTTTTACCTGAATGTATCGGCATCATATTGCAAAGAATTGAGTTTAAAGTCTTAACAAAAGTAGAGATGTTCGCGGAGAAGGATGCTCCGCCTGCATCGCTCGGGCTGCTTCAGCACCAGCCGTGTTAACCTACGCTCACCTTCCAGCTAGCGTTAGCTTTTGTGATAGCAACACGGTCAGCCACCATTACCAGGCTAAAATAGTAGCTATACGGGTTAGCTCACTACACCCTAGCGGATGTTACGATAACCAGATGGTAGTAGTTGACTTTCATTCAGGGCTTTTACGTGCGGATCACCTTTATTTAGTTATCAATTTTGGTCAAAGCTTATTTCAGAGTTAGGTAACTGCGCAGCCAAGTTAGCTGGACATTATTTATCCTCAGCAGGAGCTTGATATCATTTTAGCATCCTCTCCAAGTCATACAAATGCAATTTAGCAAAGCAGATATAAACTGTGCAAACCTGAACGGTTCTATTCATGACAGGTAAACAATATCCCCTATTTGATACTTTAAAATGTATTATGCTTACCCCCGTAGCTCTGTGAGAAGCCAGCTCTACGTCGATACGTCCCAGACAATAGAAAGAAACGCACCGGCTGTGGGGAGGATGCCTCTGTTTGTCCTGTGTGTCGGGCTCCGTCTGTTGGACATTGGCTGCCGTCAGCTCCTTGGAGTATCTTATTGGACCCGCGCTGCTTCAGCCCTGCTTGTTGTGCAGTTGGTTGTCCAAAACACGGCAGAGCTGTGGCGCTAAACTTGAAACAGCCACGCCTTTATTCTAGAGAAAGCAAATATTATAACAAGTAGAGTCATGTTGGAGCGGGAAACAAGAGCCAGTTTGAGAGATGTAATATGAGCCCATCTTCAGCCTACTATAGTAGGCTACAAGTCATACCAGGCTACAATGCAATGCAACCGATTGAGCTTTTATTTCAATCTGCATTAAGGCTTGCATTGTCACTTGCATGTGCATGATACATTCCTATTTGCAAAATGCATTTCAAATGCCATTGTCATTTTAATAATAAGAACAAAGTAAATGTTGATTAATGTTTCTACCTACCTCCAAATTATCAAAAAGGCTTATACAACACTAAATATGTATTATTATAGTAGGCCTACTGGATTTAGCAGGATTTTACTGTATTGTTAAGATGGAGAATGTTCTTATTTTGAGGATTTATTAATCAAACCAGGGTAAAATTAGATTGTAATACTAAGATTAATGAATAGCTGTTGGGAAGGATTCTGAAAAATAAGACATAAAGGATCCGAGTGATTTCCTTCTCTGAATAGTATCGTGTATCCATATGTACTCAAATATCTTTGAAGATATTTTTATGATACATTGCTAAAATACGTTTTCTTAAAGGACGTGGGAGGAGAGCATGAAGTAGACTACTTTTTATTCAATCCTTTTTCACCTTATGCACAGTAATTATTTGTGGAAATTATATAGCTGTCATTAACAGTAAATGAGGGTTGTAGATAATAGCATGCAATTAAATTACTTTGTTAAATATATGGTTACTTTCCACCAGTGTCAGAAACAGACATAAACAGGGCAAAGCTGGCATGTTGAATTTGTATGTTTATGTTTATTAAGGATCCCCATTATCTTTTGCTCTTGACAAAAGCTTAATTATCTTATGTAATGTTAGTAAGGCAACATCTCCCCTGCTGAGCAGCTCAGTGTTGTCATTCAAATGTTGTAGGTCTCCATTACCACAGCACCTCAACACCCTGCTGGGATCCTTTCTGCCTCTGCACACATACAAAACGTTACCTGAAAAGACACAAAAAATCCACAGTTGTCAGTTATGCTTTTCAGCAAGCTATCCATGATGTGAACTATCATCTGGAAATGGAAAGGTGTTCATACACTGAAAACAACTACAGCAGAGGACACCAAAACAACGATCACCAATGACAACACAAGGTAATGTAAAACCAATGATATGTAAAGATTGAATTTACTTGAAAGTAAGGTTATCATTTAGATTTGCAAAAACATGTTACATTTGATTTAGAAGGGAATTTCTTATACATTGTCTATTAAATCTTGTTTTACTGTGATATAGCTTTATTTGGTGTAGGCTATACTCCTCCTCCTACTCCTGGAATAATTCAAGGTATTATTTTGGACTGTTGCGGATCACAATTTATTTTGATCAATCCTTAAGTTATTCTTTGGGTCAAAGCATTATAATTATGATACATAGAAGTGTATTTTTCATGCTCCCTTGCCAGGGGTAATTGTAATTCATATTATGGGTTCAAAAAAGACATTATTTCCACTGGAATAGTCTTATGTCATCCCTACTTTCCAAAATATGTATTTTGTCCCCCTCTCTTTTGTAGATTTATTTGACATTTTGTATGCAAGTTTCTCTGAACATTGTTCTCTATTGGGAAAAAAGATAACTGTCATAGTCATAGGGTCATAGTACATGGGTTTACAAAACTGTTTATGGGTGACAGTGTAGTATTTCAATCTTTTGCATTATTTGTTATTTGCTCAATTGATTTAAATGTTGTTTTTGTTTTTAGCTTTTTGTGCGCAATGCTCATTTTAAGAACAAATTAGAATTCAACGTTGCAATCTAATAATAATGTATTTCTTCTTTTTTTGTAGAGGGCAAACAATGGTGGGATCCATATGAAACTTCTAATAAAAGACAATTTGTCTACCGGCCAAACTTAGCTGCAGAGATTGTGCTGTAAGATATATTTATGTATTATGGTCTTCTGGTTAAGTTCTGAATGGGCATACACAAAATGTAGGATTGTTTTAGTGTGTGTTTAATTGTATGCCTATGTTGATGCATGTGTAGGTGCCCAGCGTCAACTTCAATTACAGACTCATATTCACAGTCTGGACCTTTTGGATCAACTGTGTACAGCAAGGAGTTTTGCTGTAAGCCGGCCTGTAAACCTGAGAGTATTCGCACAGGAACAGCCTCGGGGCAGAGGAGAAACAACCCACATCCCAGTCAGGTTGGTATTTAGGCTGTGTTAGCCTCAATTTTACATTTATAGTTTAATGCCATGCTTGACCTCTCCCAGTGTATCGTAACTTTTAAAGCAAAATATTTTCCTGAAGTCTTTCATGATGTGGAGGCTGCCTAAGGATGCTGCACAAAGCTCTGAGTATGTCAGCTTTCCTTGGAAATATCCCCCATCTGAGGGGGTGATCAGTAAAGCCTTGACAGCGCAGTACAGCTCCGTCTACAAATGTGACTACATGGATATGCCTCAAGGTATGACAAGTCTGTTGGTTCATTCTTGTGTACATGAAGACGTCAGAACTGCTCAACTACTGACATTCAAGCACTCAGGCCTTTGACAGTACATGATCATGTTAATATTTCAGAAAGAAGACTTGCACCTCTTCACAGCAGACATGAAATGCAAATTTCTACTGATACAGAGATGAGGGGAAATTACCGCGAGCCAAAGCAAAAACCTGAACTGCAGGGCAACTTCTATCACTACAGCAGCAGCACAAATCCCAACATGTCCTGTCGTGGTATAGGTGTGTATAAGAGTGCTTACAATTCAACAAGCCTCAAGCTTTGTATCTATTATTGCCCTCTGTGTGTTTCAGTTCCTACTGTTGTGCAAAGGCACGCTCAGCAGAGAAGACCAGACTTGACAAACGGTGGAAAGAAATCACTAATGTCACAGATATGATAAAGACTTTGCTGCCCGAGGAGCTACAGCAGTTGCACAAAATGTTACCTGAGCAGGGTAAGTTTCAACTTCAAATGTTTGAGCATTTTAACAGGCTGCTTACTGATTTTAACAATGACAGGTAATTCATATGCTGTGTCTTTTGACTTTGCAGGAAAGGAAGCTAAGAACAGCTTGAAGTAAAGACCCAAACAGAAAGGAGAAAGTTAATAAACTCCCAGCTATTGTGTCTAATCGCTGCTCACCAAAGTGGATATCAAGCTCTCTCTATATATATAATATATATACAATATATATATATATATATATATATAATATATATAATATATATATAAACCTTGTTGCTTATGGTAGAGGTTTGTTTATCTGTCTTTGTATTTTGCTGTTTCTTTTTCTAATGAAAGGGGTCATAACTGTAATAACCAGTACAACATAATATAATTAACGCTCATTTAATTGCTATGTCATTATTGTTGTGGAACCTGTGTGCTGTGATAATTAAACACTCCTGCCTAGTGAAAAAATACTTGGCTGCCTTCATGTTTCATTGCCCCCGTATTCTGCTATCTCGTACATTTTGCAGTCTGTTTGCAGCTTGATAACACATCTGATTAAAAACATGTTACATTGATTTAATGGCTCAATCTGCTTATAATATCACAAGCAGTACCACTTATTATCCTACTGTTTTGCTTTGTGATACACTGTTTTCCATTTCATTCTCAAAGAAATTCAATAATGTTTGTTTAATTTATTTATCCCCTTGGTAGTTCAACGAAAATTAACTAGTATTACTTTAATAGTATTTAAGTTAAATGTAAATAGTGCAATACATTGTTACATGGCTTTAACAAGGCCGTCAACAAGCGCAGCTTCTTGTCTTTAGTGTCTCAGTTGTCACCCTTGGTTTCTTAGCTACCATGGGGCCACCCGCTCAGCTCAGGTGTAATGTTAGAGTGAGTGTCAGGTAGACGAATGTGAGATCTTTTAAATTTAAATTCTGACTGAGGCAATGTGCTGCACTAAAGTCTGCGTTTTACATCACATCAACCCTTTAAAATACAACATCTAACAAGGATGCCACTGGGGAAGGAGGTCCGCTCCTCTTCAGCCTCAGGAAGATTAGAAACCCAACATGTGTCCAGGTAACCTGATATTATGTTTCTCTCCTTAATTTCACCACATGTGTGTATTTCTCTTGATTTATTTATAGTTAAAACCAATTTTGTATTAATTTTAACTGTTTCATTGTCTGGAGAACTTAGTAATAATAGGTTGAGCCTAGGGCTGTGCAATTAATCGTATTTTAATCGCGATTACGATTATGGTTTGCGACGATTATGAAAACAGCATAATTGACAAAATACGATTATTTAGCTGGGTGCGCTTCGTCCCTCCCTAAAAGCCCACTCGGCCACGTAGGAGTGACATGTGTTGTGAGTGTTCAGCGCGAGCGAAGATGTCAGAACAAGAGCAACAACTCGTTAAAAAGAAGGGTACAACTATTTCCACTATTTGGAAGTACTTTGGCTTTCAGGAGTCCGACGTGGAGCAAAACAAAGTACAGTGCAGGATTTGTTACTAGGTTGTGTTGGCACCACACGCTAACACAACCAATCTCTTTAATCATCTGAAATACAACCACAAAGTGCAATACGACCGGGCAATAATACAACAAAAAGCAGATGCCCGCTCGACTTCATACACCACATCATCACAGTCATCGATTCAGGACGCATTGTACAGAGCAACGGCCTACGCGACGAGCTCGCAGAGACACAGAGATATTACAGGTGCCATTACATTTCACATCGCTAAAGATATGTGCCCAGTTAGCACTGTTAGCAACCAGGGCTTTAAGCAACTTGTCAACACGTTGGACAAGCGTTACGCGATGCCATCTCGGTATTATTTCAGCAGGTATTATGTGACAAATGCCGTGGGGAAGTTGAGAGAGATGTGGCTTCAGCTGACTACTTTGCCACCACAACGGACCTATGGTCTAGCCCAGGGGTACCAGTCGATCGCGAGATGTGTCTAAAAATAGAACAACAATATTCTGTTTTATCGTTAATGTCCTGTAACATAATCTTCCTGTGCCAGAATAATGCACTTGAACGCATCAAAGCTTTGTGATTGGCCGGCGTCACCCCTGTGTCCGGGCGTGGCTGAGGGTCTTCAGTACAGGTGGCAATATCGTCACCTGCCTGCGCTCATCTCTGAAACCAGACCATGTAAACAGCCTGGTATTCATTGCAAAAAATCTTTAAGAGATGACATGAGCAGCCCTACCAGCATTTGTCATGGTGGCCAAAACATTTTTATTTGGTCTTAAATTGTAGTTCAACATTTATTTCCTGTTACTTTTGGACCATGACGGTTGGCCAGCCTTCAACGTTTAACTGAGTGGAATAATGAATATGTTTTACCAAAATGTTGGCTATATGTTAAGTAGTTTTCAGTAGGTTGTGACAGTGCACTGCAACATGTTTGATTTCATTTATTTTGGTCTAATTTATTTTTATTTATCATATTAATAATATATGTTTAGTATGGTTTTGAAAGTGTGCTCCAACAAGCTTCTCACATAATAATAATAATGTTTTCCAGAACAATATTTACTCTTTATAACAACCTGCTATAAGAACAGTGCTTGCATTTAATTAAAACAACATCTCAAATCCTCCAGCATCCTCTGTGAACTGTGGAGAACTGCAGACAGGACGACGGGGTCAGGTTGTTGCGTTGAGAAACTCACAGATGACTGCAGTGAGGACAAACAGCAGCCTGAATGGCTGGAGCGAGAGCTGCTGAGCCAGAACAGGCGAAGACACTCAATCACACAAGGAGATGAGGCTCAAATGAGAAAACAACACCCTATTATTGACTCAACTCGCAGATTGTGCAGCCTCAAGGTAAAGTTAACACAGTCTGAAAGTAAAATCTGAGAAATAAGTGTGAATATGTTTGACCTCTCAAACTGAAAGATTCTCCTACATTTTTATTATTTCAGCGCCATGATAGATTTGTATCATTTTACCATTGAGTTTGCTTTCTTTAAGTTGCAGCATTTAGCCTCAAGGTGTCACTAGAGTGTTATGATCACTAGTTTACACACTCTTTCTGATGTGGTTAAACTACACTACAGCTGAAGCATATCCCACTCACAAGGTGAGCTGCAGAAAGAATGAGGTAATTCCAAAAGTGCCATTTTAATTCAAGTTGATGATCAATTTACTCCCAACCTGACAGCGCATTGGGCAAGACGATCTGTCCCAGAGCCAGGGATGGCCATGTTTCAGTCTAAAGTGGAACAAACTTAGTTGCTGAGCCAACCACTTAAAAGAACCTCAGTAGATTCAAATTCAAGCTGACAAAAATGATGGACTGATGCAGGAGCCTGAACACCAGCAGAAGTTTCCGGTGCAGGTGTCAGTCACACTCTCCTGCTTTATGTAATAAGCAATGTGCCATGGCAGATTGGACGGAGCAGGCTCAGGAGTCCAAAGTTATGCAGTGTTCATAAATACATTTTGTAAAGCAGACAACTTTCAGCACTTCCATCACTGACTGATGGAACAATTATCTCTGAAATTCAGGAGATACCGTGGGGAAACCTTGACTCTAGTTACATCCTTAAGGAACTAGGCTGTTTATCCACGTTATTTATTAATGATGGATCAAATAGCGTCATGGATAAATGACCCGTTGCCAGGAAACCATAGCAAAATTAAGAGAGGCCATTAGACGCAGAGAACATGGCCAGCCATCCCGCCTTGTGAAAGCACACATCATGGCTGACAAATGGCCTTTACAGATAGTCATTAATACTCAGAGGTGCAGCCCTAACCATATGTGTTGATAATTACATGCTGTTAATATCTCCTTTCTAGCACGCATGCTTTATGAACTTCCTGGTGAGTGCATTTGAGTGGACTGAAAATAAATTAGAAGGAGCATTTGTTTGTCAATTAAACCTGATTTCTGGTATATCCTGTATTGTGCTATTTTCTTTGAATATTCACAATCACCCAGCATTATTATTGATTCATGTAATAACACATGTCACTGTTCTTTTCTCCAACAAGATTGATGAGACGATATCACTCGACAATCTCCAGAAATTGAAACTAGCGTTCGAGGTATTGTATGAACTGCATCTTTTCTCACTGACAGTCTAGATATGCATTTCTGCAATATGTGACATCATTTTTTCTTGAAAAGGAATTTGAAAGGGGTGGCTCGAGATCCATTGATGCAAAGTGTTTTGGACGTATAGTGAAGAAGTGTTTGGGTTTGCCTAAGACAGTAAGGACAGTGGCACATTCCTCCTAATATTTTAACTCTGTTTCAGATTCTCTCATCTCTGCGTTATCTGTTTCTCATTTCTTTGCAATTGAGGACAAGCCTCAGCTATTGCCTGATTGATTTGTGTCATTGTTTTCTATTCTTTTGTTATTTCACAGAGCAATGCGCAGATTCAACGGTTATTTAAGAAGATTGATTATTTGGGCCAAGGACAGATTTCATGGGTGAGATGAAATGTATATTTGTTTCTTATGGAGCATTCATCTATTTCATTCAGGAGGTTTGCCTTTTTTATGACACTTTGCACACTATGCCCCTATGAAATGTGACAGTTGTAATTCACTATGAATTAGTGGAGCAAGTAGAGCTGTTACTCACCTGAAGTTCCTGAACACAATGATTCAGGCTAAATCAGGAATTTCAATACACATGTTACTGGATGATAGAACATTTGTCACTATTTGTAGTGTCATTCATTTGGAAAGCATATTGTAACAAATTGTAACATGTAGAAAATAGCCGAAATCATCAACAGCCAATTTGTTTTTGCAACAAGTATTTCTGTATTTTTGTTTCCCCCCACCGCTGAAATCTAACCCTATAAAGCCATGATAAAAATGATATGACTGTCAAGGTGCAGGACTACCATAACCTGACACAAAGTGATGTGACGCAGGGTGAGTTCTGCACACACATGATGCATGAATACAAAGAGAAGCAGGAAACTGTGAGACGCAGCAAGCAGGTGGCTTTCACTCTGCCAGCCTCGATGAAGACATTGTGTCATGGCATCCCCATCGTCAACATCCACTCCAGCCATGATGGCACCATTGTAACAGTGAGAGAAGACGGTGTTGTTTGCTGCTGCAGCCCTGAACTGAAACCACTGAAGACCAAACATTTGTTTGTATGTATTCTTTGTACATTCACCAAAACACTTTAGGGATAAGTCTGTTTTTTTTAATTTCCAACAAGCACATTAAAGACCATACGTCTATCTTTAAATCATGTCTGCAAGCCTGAAGCCCATTGGTTCCTACTACTGAGGGCACAGATATTGGCCAATGACTGTCGTTTTTATATCCCAAAAAAATTGGTACAGTGTCTGAGTAATAGGAACACATCACCCATGGCAACAATATGGCTCATACTGTATATGTGTTCTATGTTGACAATGGAGGTCTATAACAAGAATGTTGTTGTTCTTAAATGACACAGCTGGTATTTCCTCACTTAATATTGGAAACATAATTATATTTCAGAATGAAGGACCAGCAAGCAGGAAGTCAAAGTGGGCAAGTGACTTTATTCTGATGACAGAGTTTAACAAGCTGATGATTGGAACAGGGTAATATTAAAAAAAGCTTTAATAACATAATTAAAGACCCAATTATTTATAAAGTAAACTGACTGCAGGGCACAAACTATCCTTGCTTTGCTTATTGTGTGTCTTTTTTTATCTTGCAGGGACAGAGAGATCCAGCTTTATGAGCTTTCCACTCTGGAGCCTTACTGCCAGATCAATGCTCTAGAAACGGTGCCTTTGACATTAGACTTTGGGTGAGCAACGAAACTGCATGTTAACATATCTTCCAAATGTCACAATAAGTCACAATAATGGCCTCCGTTTTTTCTCATAGCTGCACTGGCCCTGATAAATGTTATATTGTGTATGGAGACGCGGAGGTAGGTCCTTTGAATAATCCTGAAATAAATCTTAGACAAACTTATCATTAATTATACCCCACCTGATTTATACTGGCATAGGTTAAATATGGTGTTTGTGTTTCAGGGATGTGTTACTATCATTTTAATATCCTATGTTGGAGATACCCTCAGGTAATTTTCCTTTCTGTTAAAACCTCCAGTCTGTGATTTCCTTTTTGATTTTTAAACACTTATTTCCAGGTTTCCATTGTAATTTGGGATACACATTTTCAGAGAATCAAACTCTCTGGTTCTGATAACATAATTACATTTCCATATGTTCTTTATAATATACAAAACTCTTAATTAATTCATAAGAATATAATATATTGAGCTTTGCTATGCAGACATCTAGAGAAGGAAAAGGTTGTATGTGTTATCTTCAATCACAATCTTTTTAGGCTGCACAAAAAAACCTTTGGGAATCAGTTTTTCCAAAGAGTCAGTATTCTATTGACTGGTTGGTCATTGTGTTTCTCCTGTGACCATCCCCATCCCTTTCATTTCCATGAATAAAGCATATGTATGTGAGATTATGTCGAATTATGGGAAAGTCGATCAAAGTATGAATTTATCTTTTTGTTGTTGTTCTAGTCATAACAGAGAATTGAGTGTCTGGACAGATTGAAATACTGTAGCCGGGTAAAAGCCGTAGTTACACAGAAACTTAAGGTGGACAAATTATACCTATAACTATAGGTTGTACTGTTTGTAGGTACGACTGTGTCCCAATACATTTAAACAGTTTCATGCATGATGTATAACTTAATTTCTTATTGATAGGTTATGGAATAAATTACCGGAGATTGAAAATATGCCCAACATAGCGATTGACGATGCAGTGCTTTTTCCAAATGTGACATTTGTCAGATGGAAGGTTCATCAGGACTGGGTAACACAGGTGAGTTTTAACCTTTTCCATGTGCATGTTCACTTCCCTTATAAAGAAATACATCTAAATTCAGCCAAGTGACGACTGACATTATCTGCAGATGGTGTGAACAATTTACGTGCATTACGGACATATTATAATGAAATAGACTGAGCATCTAACTCCTCTCTCTAACTCTAGGCAAAATATTTTCATAGTTTTCAAGCTGTTGTCTCCTCATCAAAAGAAGAATCTACTTCGCTCGTTATAGGTAATTTCAGTTTGTTTTGGCTTTTAAAGAGAGAAATGTTGGCATAAGTTTAGCACCTTTATGGGTTTAATTATTGTGACTTAAAACACTTACACATCTATCATTATTACACATGCATATTCTCTGTGATTTAAGATCCAAATAAACAAATGAATGCTAAAAATGTTGCTAAGACTCTACAGTGAGCAGTCATTAAATGGTGTCGAACATTAGGCAGCCTGGTAGGAGAGCGCTGAGGGATGACGCATGATGGTGCATCTATCACAAATTCACCAATCAATGCAAGCGTGTGTGTGTGTGCGTGCGTGTGTGGTGTGTGATCGACCATGACCACTTGCATGCTTGGTAATTTATTCTGATAATGGCTCACCCTTGCTACAGAAGGCATGTTTGATCAATGCTGATACACGTGATCTCATAATAACATTTATATTTTTTTCTTCTTCAGGCTGTGTGCTGCCTCTAACAGACGCTGAGCAGCAGTTGGATGATATCAGAGAGGCCTGCTATGAAGGTAAAACCAAGAAGATCCAACTGAGCTGGATTCCACAGCTCCGTGCATCGTGTGACCAGACAGTTTTCAACATATCCAAAGGTGTCAAGACCTTTGACCTTTGTCAGAAGCACAGCCTGCTGGTCACTGGAGGCATGGACAGGCTGATACGCATGTGGAACCCACATTTTTCTGGGTGAGGAGCCAGAATTCAGTGGGCTTTATTCAAGACAATTAACAATAAATCCAAAAGCCTCACCTCTTGGTTTGGTTTTTCGTTTTAGGAAACCTAACGGTATTTTGAAAGGCCATTCAGCTCCAATCACTTACCTGCACATCATCCCAGAGAACGGTCAGATCTTCTCTGTCTCTATAGACTGCACTGTGAAGGTGATTTATGATTCATTTGTATGTTTCTGTGATTTTCCACATTCTAAATGATCAAACGGAGTACAGCATTCATTTGAGGGCGTGCAACAGAGATGTTCACAAGTCTTTTTTTGCAAGTCCAAGTCAAGTCTCAAGTCTTTGGTCACGAGTCCAAGTCAAGTCTCAAGTCTTTGTGGGGTGAGACTTGATCAAGTCTCAAGTCTTTGGTCACGAGTCCAAGTCAAGTCTCAAGTCTCTAAAAAATAAAAGTCTCATGTTTCTTCTGGTTGTAATAAGCCTTCTATTGTCTGCTGCTATCCAGTCTGTTAAGAATACTGCACAGCTATATCTAAGAAATTCAAAGCATTTACTGTATTATTATCACTCCTATATCTATTAGCATACAGTATCAGTACTGATTAGTTGTTTGTTATATGATCACTTTAAACAGGCTATTGCAATGCAATATGAGGAAAAACATCACACTTTAGCTAAATGCAAACAACTTATAAGCAAAACACTTCAGAATCAGAATCACAAATACTTTATTAATCCCCCGCAGGGAAACTGTGTTAAAAGTACTTAAAAGAAAACATTTGTTCTTTGCAACTAAAAAACTATTGCTGCAATATTATCTGAAATATACTGAACTGGTGATATTAAAACATGACCTGTTCCAAAAGAGATATCTACCATTAACACCATTTACCAGCCAAATGCTGGTAAATCATGCAAGTGGCTGGTACTGTATGTTGCACGCACCAGCCACAAATAACAATGGCAATCTATTGAGTGGCTGGTAACATATCAACATTCACTAGGCTAGCCATTTGGCCAGTGGACAAAAATGTTAAAATGTGACCTCTGCAACCGTATTGTTTAATTACACTGGGTCTCTAATTACATATTTTAAGTCTACTATAAATAAACATATTCCTCTATCCTCTCACTCAAACCCAGTGTAATGGTAACCCGATAAACCTGTAACATTAACGTTACGTGGTCAACAATAAACCTGTAACCTGCCTATAAACCGACAGATGTATTTATGTATGTAACTATGTATTTTTCTACGTTTAACGTTAGCCAGTAGATGGTGGCAGCGGAACGTAATGATTAACGTTACCGACCTTTTTTTATGTCATGTCAAGAGTTGGATGTCAACGCCACTCAACGCAAACAAGTGTGACAAGCAAACATTCACTCATCTTTTCAAATATTCAGTTACAAAGCTAGTAGCAAGCTAAGTTAACATTACATAGCTGATGCTGAGCTAAACATGTTTGCTAACCGTCCATATGCGTTAATGTGACTGACCTCTCCGGGTGAGTTTTCAAGTGCCTGATGAAATTTGACGTTGTTGCACCAGCATCCTTGATTTTAATATTGCAGACTTTGCAGTGTGCGCTCCTTTTGTTGGTGCCGCCGGCGTTTTTGTTCGAAGTTTTTATAGTTGAACCTAATTACAAGCGGTACAGCTGCAGGTGTGCCGCCGGTCGCCATGGTGTTACCATGATGTTAATGTTAAAGGTGGGGTAGGTACGTTTGAGAAACCGGCTCGAGATACACTTTTTGTTATATTCCATGGAATGCTCTTAACATCCCGATAGCCGGCCCGGCTAAAATAACTGGATGGCCTACCTGCCTGTCAGCCTCCCATCGGGGCACAAACTTATCTCGTGCCCTCATTGGTCATGTGCTCGTTCGTGTGTGTTGGAGGAGGGGCTCTGTGAGGAAGTGACAGAATTTCTCCGGTTGTGTATTTTCAGATTCTAGCGATCTCGAGCCGGTTTCTCAAATTTACCTACCCCACCTTTAATACGCCAAAAATAGAAAACACAATGATTGTTCACGAGTCCCAAAACACGAGTCCAAGTCGAGTCCGAAGTCTCTTTTGAGCAGGAGTCCAAGTCAAGTCTGAAGTCTCTGTGTGTGCGACTTAAGTGCGACTCGAGTCCGAGTCTCAGACTCGAGTCCCCATCTTTGGCGTGCAATAACCACTGTGGACAGTTGGAAACTTTGAAAATGTAAAACAAAAAATCTTTGACTTGAGTTTTTAAATGTTGTTCTGCTTTTAAATTAATTATACTACTCTACAATTCAGAAGACAATATTATAAATGTATATTAGCTATAGTTACTTACTACTTGTTAAAGTCTTGTTTTATTTTGTTTTACAAAACACGATGCCTTATTATAGACATGACTTCACAGCTGGATAAACAGAAGCTCCACCTAGACAAGCTACAGTGTTAATACTATATGATCAAATACATAGAGTATTCATATTCTATGGTGCACATTAGGACTTCTGTGCTTCTAGAAAATATTGAAGGTTTTAGTCTTTTTTTTAGCACATTCCGTGAATAATTTGGACACTACTGTTTACCTGTTGCTCTTTCAGATCTGGGATATTCAAGATCAGTGTTGCCTGTTTACAGCAGACTCACAAGCCAGCGGGATTCATGGTGACATATCTGCCTGCTCGTATTCTTCTGCTGTAAAATCCTTCTACTTTGCAGCAGACTGCATAGCGGTGCTCTCCCTGAAGATAAGGTTGGTTGTCAAGCCCCCGTGCTTTATTCATCATAGAATCCAATGTACAGTACTGTGAAGATACTTAAAAACAAAATTTCTCAAGGTTGTTGGTTTGTGAAATTCAAATAAGAAAAAATACAGAAAAGACTGTTGAAGAGTTGTTCTTTTATTATGTTGTTTTTCTTTTCCTCTTTAAGGCCGAGGCTCCACAGCCGTCTGACTGTTTCTCATGATGAGACTGTAATGTGCTGCGGATACAGTGAGGAGTTCCGTCAGGTTGTCAGCTGCAGTGAGGGATCCGTGAGTAAATGAATACCTTGAGTACACCATAAAGTCATTCAAGTGACCCAACTTCACATTTCCAGCGAAGAAATTATCCAATCTGTGTCAAAACAGAATTGATCTTACTTACTGTATATCAACAGTACAGTTCATTCAATATGTTACTTTTTCCAGGTGGTTAAAGTCTGGGATTTTGACACTGGGCGGCAGGTTTTTGAATTTGGTGGCACCCATGACCAGTCTGCCATCACATGCATGGCTTTTGACCCCAAAGGGAGGAGGTACAGTACAACAGTTTGTGATACATTTCACTTTAATAAAATATATTGAGCCACAACTTTATCTTAATAAGTTGTTTTTATTTGCAGACTCATCACAGGTGGAAGAGATGGTTGTGTAAAGATCTGGAACTTTAACAATGGTCAGTGCCTAAAGACACTTAGGAAAGGTATGTATTTGACCTTTCCATTACTTCTGCATAAAACAAAAGGTTTGTATACTATATTATACAGTATTTGTGAAAAATCCCTTTAAATCTTTCCCATAGATGGTGAATGTCACAAAGTGTGCGACTGCATCTTTTTGCAAGTTCACAGGACTTTGTGAGTAATGATGTGATATTTGGCAAGTGTTCTGTGCTCAGTATACATTCTAATCTATGTTGAACTTGTGCAATTTTATATTTGAAGCTATGTAATGTCTGTTGGCGGGGACCGGAAGATTGACATTTACCCAGTGAGTACAAAAGCCATGAGTTTTTTGTATCATTCGTCATTTGTGCTTCAGAAATCCCATTCCAATTATTCCTCCAGTTCCTCCATCCATCCATCGTATTGTATCCAATTTTCATTTGTTTACATTGTCATTAGCAGCTTATCTCTATCCTGAAACAGCAAAGAAAATACTGATAGTTCATGCGGCATATAGCCTGAATTTCATTATAAAACTAGAAAGAAGTTTGCAAAATGTTTTACTGCATGGCGGATGTCACTTCTTGTCAGTGTCTGCCTAATAAGAATTGTAATGTACTAATATGTTTAATAACAATTAAATGTTTTAATATCGAGATGTAAAATATTCTGTTTGCTTAGTGGACATTTGCTTTTTTCAGGACATACCTGAGGGCCTTCATCATGTCCAGAGGCCACAGCCTTCATGGCAAGATGATCTGGTGAGTAATGAATAGAGAATTGTCTTGACAATAACATTGAGAAAAGCGATTCAGTCAGACAAAAGTAATAGTTACAAGACAAGTTATTCAATGGGCTCCGACTGAGAGTTAGTATTCCCCCGTGACATTGATTCTAGGCAGACACTGGATGGATCATTATTCTTCTGTTTCTGAAAGAGCACAGATACAGTATCAGCATAAAAAAAACCCCGCCATAAACACAAATTGGATGTTTTCTGCAAAATGAATGTATGATCAAAAACACATTAAGCTAGAAAACAGTATGTGCTAGCTCTGAAGTCATTTCATTACAACCTCATTCATCATGTTGTTGCTACAGTGTGAGTATAATACTATTTTTCAGAACATCTGAATGTTTCCTGCATGTGGTGCCATGTTATACTTCTACTACATTGTATTTCAGAGACAAAGGTTGTGCCGATTCCATCATATTAATTTTAAAACAATGAGGATAAGAAATACATACAAATATATAAATCTGATACACCGTATACAAAGCCAATAATATAAACAAATAGTTAACTTAGTAGAACCTTACAATGCTGTTTACATATTATCATTGTGTATTTCACATTAGAGGTGTGAGTTCTGTCTTTGCACTGCCTCAGTCACTGGTGCACCTGAAGGGCTGTGTAGATAAAGCTTCACTGCCAGTTGTTTGTTCATATTACACACAGAGGACACTGGTGTCCTTAGAGCCTTTTTTGCTGACTGGCCATAAAACTCAGTAAGATATGGGTAACACAGCCTCCCTGATCTCTGCCCTGCTGTGCAACATTGATTGCAGAATTTTCTATTTTAAATCGAGCAGCAACCCTGCCTCACTTTTATCCTCCATCTTTCCTTGTTCCGTTTCTCTCACTATTGAGAATGTTATTAAAAACATGATGATAGCATTTTCCCTGCCAACTTCATTAACCTATATTGTATGTATGTAGGGCTAAACTAATTTATAGTGTAATATATAATATTGAGGGTTTTCTCACAAACACATCACCGCTGATGTCACATCACATAGCTTCTCACTACATTTTTAATGAAATGTAAGATTTATTTTTTTCTGCAACAAATGCACCGCCTACAGTGTCTAATAGGTCAACGTCAGTATATTTATTCCCCGTTATTGTGTGCACATAAATGATATTGAGATTAGAACAAAAGGTCAGGCACGTGCATGTTTTGTATTACAAAGCAATACATCTGTCCTAAGAAAAATCTCCTTGCAAAAGCTAAGGATTTGATCCTCTAAACGTGTCACAGTGTTGTAATCCTATTCGTGATTTTGTTTAAGAACTTTAAACCTTTCATAGTATCTTTTCATTTGATAGAAGTACATTTAGTGAAGTGAGAGTTTGAATCTCACAAACCTATAAAGTAAAATCAACAATTACATAAATAAATGCAGTCGTGTGCTCTGAAAGCTGTGTGTTCAGTCCATATAAAATATCAGAATAGATTGCAGTTCCTTTATCAGATTGTACCTGTATAAAGTGGACAGGTTATCTCAGAATGCAGGGCCCAGCTCTCTTTCCCATCTCTTTTATTATGGTTGGTGGTTGCACTCACCCTCATATAGGCCAACTAACAGAGGAGAAATAATGCAGTAGAGAGGACAGCAAGAAAAGTGACCCCTGTTAGAGCCATCTCTGATGATTGTTTTTCATCAAAGGCCTGCAGGAAAGAGACCAATGGGTTCTTCTATATACATTATATAATTTACTGTATATTGGTCCATTTCCGTTATCCACATGCTCGGGTTTACTGTGATTTATTCTCTGTTCCTCCAGATGGTCTGAGTTATGTTACAATTCATTAATATTTCAAAACATGGCCTGGTTCAGCTAATATTTCACTTGGCCTTTGAATATAATTTACAGTAAGTTAAGTAATCAGTGCCGGTCAGAAATGCCACCTGCTTTTCTTGATTTGTGTATAGTTTCTGGTTGGCAGCATCACACCAAGAGAACATATTTCTGTTGAGATCAGTGCAATAAAACAAGACGCACAATACGCATCAGTTTCAGTGTTCAAGTACAGTGGCTGAAGTAATATTTGACTTGTTTGCATTTCCTTTAATTTTTTTGTGAACAAACTGGGGAACTCACTCACTCATTCTATAAGGTGTGCAAACTCCTTGATCTTTTCTAAATTGATATGGTTAATATAGGAAAACAAGTAAGTTAAGGTTGTGGCTAGTTAGAGTTTAAAATGTTTTTGAAGTGATAATACATTATTCCACTCTGTTCTTAGGTAACAAAAAGGGCAGGAATGTTTCATAACAAACTGTGCTCAAACTTTTAAACGTTTTATCCTGGAGTAATTTAAAAATACTTGCACTTTGTCTTTTCTCAGAGAAGTGGCCATACGGAGGACATCCTTTGTGTGGCGCAGTGTCCCCCATCTCTCCTAGCCACCAGCAGCTATGATGGAGAGATTATAGTGTGGAATGTAATTTCTGGACGAATACGGTGTCGGTTAGTCAGCCCTCTTCTAGCTGAACACCAAAATGTTGAAGGTAACCTTGAAGCAAGGCAGATGATGAATATATTTAAAAAAAAAACTCATATGTGTATATAGGCAACGCAAGGCAAGTTTATTTATATAGCACCTTTCAACACAAGTAACATTGCAATAATGACATGTGTTTTTCTGTGATACAGGACTGGATACCAGTGTTCCAAGTATAATTTTCTTTAAGAACTCCAAGTTGCAGCACTTTTCCTCGGCTACAGCTCTGCTGTCGGCAGGAGCCATGGGTCAGTGTAATGAACAGCTCTAATTACAGTGCATGATGGCATTTTAAAACCTCTCACAACGTCTTCCATTACACTGTTAATTATGTATTTTCTCTTTTAAAGGTTGTATAAATATCTGGAACGTGCTCAGTGGAAGCAAATTAGCTGGGAGTTTCAAAGCTGTAAGAAATGCATCTCAACAATATTCTTGGATTCAGTTTTGGGTCCCAAGGCATAGGACTCTAGTTTTTGCTTTTCTTTCTCCTATATTTAAAATTGCTAATCAGGCATTAGGATCGTTTGTGGCAAACTGTTTCTTTGCTTAGTGCTATTTTTTTAGTTGTTTGGATCCTTCCTTGCAGCTACATAATGCAAAGCAGGGACCTTTAATATTGGTAGCCTGAATAGAAAATGTGCACATGAGTACAGAAATTGCGTTTTGAGGCTAAAAAAACTTTAAAAAGTCATACATTTTCACTAAAGAAAAAAGAAAAAAAACCCTAAAACAATATATTTTCTTTGCTATCGTAGCCCACTTGTTTTGTTACCTAGCAACAATGTCTCTCAACAGTTTCGAGCTATTATTTGAATCTACTTTTGTTTCTACAAAAGTAACCAGGCACCTGATATTATGTATCTGGAGAGGATATATTAGGCTATCTGGAGAGGATATAATGTATTAAGTCTCTTTTCAGGGAAGGTAACACTTGCTACAGTACAGTCAGTTAATGCAAAAATCATTAATATGAAAAGTTGGTGAGATGTGCGTGCCATGATTTTCAAGTAACACTTTTTGCTTTTTTTCATTTTCATTTTGTAGTCTAAATTCCAACAAAAGATTACAAAACTGGCTAAAACAGCCAAAGACACGTTGCTGTACGCTGCTGACCGGATTGGTTACATCTATGTTTACAACATGGAAAAGTTTACTGCTGGGCAAAAATCACCAAGAGGTAATCTGAATATTTCACCTTGATTAGACATACAGTGAAAAACTGTTACTGTCCATCAGAACGTGGAAAATGAATCCCTCTTTGTTTTTTCAACTTCATTTAGTTGAAGGCTTCTGGCGTGCCCACACCAGCCAAATTACTGGGTATGTAAAAAATCATGGTCAGTCATATTATCTAATCTTTATAATCTGGTGAACGCTATCAAACAGGAATTCTACTCTGGGTTGTGTCTCTAACTTTAAGTTTGTTGTATGCTTAAAAGTCCCCGAGGGTACATCCTTAGTGGAAGCAATCTTTTTTTTCTAGAATGACTTATTGGTAGCAGCAGCACAGCAAAACTTCCTTCTGCTGCAGTAGACAAATCAAAAGAAACTGTGTGTGGGAAGGTCTTAAACAGACAATCAGTATAGGTGAGGTGCTGTGCGGGGTGCATCTGCCATCAGACGTACCAACAGAGTGGATGATTTAGGGTGTTCTGCCAGAAATGCCGTCTCTCATTAAATCTCATGTCTCTGTATTCTGGTCCAGCCTGCAGATTGTTGACAATGATCAAGTGGTGCTTACCTCATCCACAGACTACACTGTGCGCATTTGGAGCGCACATGGAGAATACATAGGTGGGTGCCATTTTACATCTGTCAATCCCCTCTTTCTAGACATTATTAATGTCCATGCCAACAACATAAATCATGGTGTGGTGCTTTTGGAGGAAATGCTGTTATTTGTGGGCTTTTTCTTTCAGTGTGACAATATTCATGGCTGTATTAAACCACTATGGGGCCTGGGGTAAAAACAAGCAGTTTGGCCCTTTTATTCCGACTCCTCGTGTAGTGTGAATGTGCCCTGTCACCATCAAGTACAGTACACATATGGCGCGTTTCCACTGCAGCGGGTAGCTCGCTTTAAGCGTGCCGAGCCGTGCGGGGCCCGTTTTTGGTTTCATTTCCACTTGGACTAGTTTTGGCCCGGGGCTACTTTTTCACCTTTTTTCTGGCCCGACTAAATCGTGGTTCTAGGGCCAGGAACAACCAGACTGAGTCGGGCTGAGTATGCTAAACTAGAGAGAGAATCGCTGGCAAGGGGGCTACAACTACAACAAGATGAACATATTTGACCGTGATTTAATTGTAATACACGTTTCAAAATGATGCCGAAGTAACAACATACTGATACCGGTTAGTAAAAACCATGAATTAATGCTTTGACAAGTCTGCAGACAGACGGCAGGCGAAAAACCCTTTTAAAATGCGTGCTTTCTAAATGGAGCTTGGCTAAGCTAACGTTATATACGCTCCGACCGTCCACACTCACAACAACAGCCTATACAGACATAAATAAACCAGCGACTGTATTCGCCATGACACAGGCAGTCTGTGGTTTGTACTTGTTTAACTTCTGTCTAGTTTCTGAACAGATATGAAGAGCTGTGAGCTCTGAGTGCTAAGAGCTAACGGCTGTATTGTTTTTTGGGGCGCTCATTGAAGATGACGTCACGGCTCCGCCTACACTGCGTTACTATAGTAACTACCCCAGTTCCTAAACTGTAATGGAAGCGCAGCATAAAAGTGAGCCGGGCCTAATAAGGCCTAACCAAACCGAGCGAGGCCTGCAGTGGAAACGCGCCAATAGCAAACTACATGGCAGCTTAATTACATTTGCCTATAGAGACTGCATAAACAATCAGCACTTCTATGCTAAAATACTACCTGGCTGCAGGTTTACACTATGTGAATTACTTTTTTGGTAATAACACACATTTATTCAGGGTAATGCACCATGTAAGCACAATGTTAGCTATAATAACCTATACATACATATACATAATAATCAAATAAATAAGGTAATTTGGTTGAGTTATTCAGTCAGATAATGATGTGAGACCACATGTTCCTTAAGGCTATAACATTGCGACAAATAAATAGACGTTTAAAATTGTTTCTACTGACCAATTGGTGTAGGGAACCTCCAGATTTTAGAAGTCCAAGACTTTAAAGGAATAGTTCTAAAATAAGTGTTTACTGTCCAGTTGGGAAATAGTGTTTGTGCAAAGCTAACTGGCTGGTGAGTGTAGGTTCATATTTAATGCACAACAAAATATTGAGCTATTAATTTAAACCGCTGTCACATCGATGGTAGTTCCGCTTCATGTACATCCAGCAAAACCGACTTTTTCACCTATTGAAAATCTACATCCATAACTTCTACATAACTGTGAGCAATTGTATTTTTTTGTGTGTGACGTTGATAATCTAAGAGTGGACAGGAAAAATAAGTTTCAAATTTGTTAGGAACTGTCATTAGTAATATTTTCAATGTATATGTATATTTCAACCTGAAATAAGAATCAAATATAAAGATTACAATTCCATGTGGGTCAGTAGTGGGGGTCTGCACAGTAGGGACCTGCAGACACTTGATTTCAAATGGATTCAGACATTGTGACATTTTAAGAAGCCACATTTTCAACTGCAAATTCCTTCAGCACAAAGCTGCCCAATGTGGAAATAAAATAGAAATTGCAATATCTTTGTCCACAGGGACCTTTGGGCAGTCTGAGAGCTGGAATGTCCATATATCCTCCTCGTGGAAACATCCTGCTGTCCCCTATGAGGTCCTCATTGATCCTCTGAGCATGCCTCATCATGAAATTCTGAATGTTAAAACTCGTTCTGATTACATCGATACTGACAAGACTGGGGCTCATAAAGGTGAACTAAAGGTGAGCCGAATTCTTTCACTTAAGATTATCTGAGCGGTGTAGCTATGTGTCTCTCTGCCTCTCCCTTCTGCAAATGTTGAATCAAACTGAACTGTGCCTGCTCCTCTTGCGTCATGATTGCAGTCAGAGACACACAGTAAGGTGTAAGTAGATTTAAAGGCAGGTTGTACCCAGAGGAACACAAAACAGGGTGAGTAACCATTAAACCAGCAAAAACTGCTGTACCCATGCTATGCAAGGCTTACACTAGACTCAGCTTAAAACGTGACAATTGTATAGAGTTATATTATTAATTTATATTCAGAGTATGTCTTCTTTTGCATTTCAGGCTCTGTCATGGAACTCTCAGGCATGCTAACAAGCTATCGAACCACTGTGCTCTGAAAGGCTTCATGCTGTGGAGCCATCCAACACCAGCCCTCTTATAAGAAGGGCTGAGGAACTAGATCAATTTGAAAAATATGAAACTATATTGATCGCAAAAGTGTAAAATGGATCATTCAGTAATTGAACTCCTTCAAATAAAAAAGCTCTAAATTCCCACTGTGCATGACATGCTCACCGTTGAACAGCTGAGGAGACCGACAAAGAAAAGCTTGTGAACATAGTGGAGCCTTAGCAGGTGGACACAAACATGATTCAAAATAAATACTTATGTTGATTCTCTGTTGCGTTCACATAAATCTACAACTTTTTAATGTGAGAAAAAAAGTTTTTTCACAAGGATAATTTTACTGTTCTAATATCTGGAAAAAGGGAAGGGTAATATATCTCCACCCTTCCTAGTTTGCATAATACCTTTATTTATATTCAAAATATGATGTATTATCCTTGTTTTAAGTGCATTATCTTGGATTTACAAACGGCATCTATTGCACGTCTGTCCGTCCTGGGAGAGGGATCCCTCCTCTGTTGCTCTCCCTGAGGTTTCTCCCATTTTTCCCTTTAAACTGTGGGTTTTCTCCGGAAGTTTTTCCTTGTATGATGTGAGGGTCTAAGGACAGAGGGTGTCGTATTGTCATACTGATATTCTGTACACACTGTGAAGACCACTGAGACAAATGTAACATTTGTGATATTGGGCTATATAAATAAACATTGATTGATTGATTGTATATACAGGTGCTCTGGCATTCAGTGTATTATTAATAAAACCCTGCATTACAATTTTTGTAACACTCTTGTTTTAGCTGTTTTCTACTTCCTTTATTATATACAGGTAGTGTTCAGGTATATCTGTTTTTGGATGGAGTGTGGCTTATTAAACACCACCTGTTTAAGGCACAATAGGGAAAGATGATCTCAGGGTAACTGATTTGAATGTATAGTACTAAGATGTGACAGGAATAGGATGCTGCACATTTGAGGTATAAGTAGATTGAGAGTCAGTCATATGGGAGCAGACAGCTCTGTTTGTTCAAGCATAATAAACTGTGACATGCACAGTGTGTGTGTGGGTGTGTATGTATGTATGTGTGTGTGTGTGTGTGTGTGTGCTTCCAATTGCATTTTGCTAGTCCATCAGGTAAATTGTTACTGTTATTTATATGTTGTTGGTACACACTGAACACCACTGTTCAGAAAAGAATGTCCCAGAAACCCAGAAAACAACACACACACACACACACACACACACAATTGTATGTTAACTAGGGCTGTCAAACGATTACAAATTTTAAATCAGATTAATCACAGCTTAAAAATTAATTATGTAAGAGATAATGTGCAGCAACGCGGTCATTATGGGGAAAAGAACACCGACAGGCTGATCAGGAGCCCGACGCGAAGCGGAGGGATCTAGATCGGCATGAAGGTGTTCTTTTCCCCATAAGCCCAGTTTCGGCCCAACGGTATACAGTTAAATCGACCGGACTTCTTTCTGAAGATGTGAGCGTCCTTAACAACGGTCAATAAGTCCTTGACAGCGGTCTGTCTGTTCGGTATTAACAACGTGTCACGTGTTCTGAATTGACCAATCAGAATCGAGTATTCAACTAAGCCATGTAATAAATCCATTTAACATACAGTATCTATGTTTATTATAACATTGTTCTGCATGTCAAAATGAAAGACAACCCACACACCTATCAATCATTAAACCGTGGGGTCTTAATTCATTACGTGTTGATTTCTATCAACGGGGGAGTACTTCAGGAAAGTCGACAGAGGGGGAGGGGCGGCGGCGGCTAGTGGAGTACTTCGTGACCACAGAGTGTGAACGTTGTGATCAGCTGTTTTAGCGCAGTTCTCAACACTTTTCAAACTGCTTTCCATGCGACAATATTCCCATTAGGAAATGTATTTATCTAGTCTATTTCCAATGTAAACGATCGAGATACGCAAATTTATTTTTTGAAATACGTGCCTAATGACCTTGGGCGCTTCCATCGATCCGGGACTTTACCAGTGACGTCACTGTGTGGGTACGGCTTCCTGGGCCAAAGCTCAATACAGCTGCAAACAACATGGCGTGCAATGCACCAGTGGTTTACAACAAAAGAAAACGGTCGTCGTCAGGAGCGTATTGTATTGCCCCAGGCTGCACAAATGGTTTTTATACAAAGAAGGAAGAAGTACATTTCCATAGGCTGCCACTAAAGGATGAGAAGCTGCTCAAAGCATGGGTTATTTCCATCAAACGGTCCGATCCGCCGCTGATCAGTACGCACGTGTGTGCAGCGAACACTTTACAAATGACGATTATGTCCACAAAATGAGGTTTGATGAGTCTGGATGCCTGGTTCAATACAAAACATCGGATTTGAAGCCAGAATCTGTTCCCACAATATTCGATTTCTCATCATATGCAGTCGGGAACACCGACCGTCCCAGCACGTCGGCCGCGCAAGACAATGACACCAGTGTCAACAAACGTGAAGTTCGAGCCACCAAACGAGCTGCTTCAGCTGCCGAGAGAGAGGTAAATATTGCAGCACTACCAGATTACTACTACTACTTTCCCGGCTCGCCGAGGGTGCTGGCGTTGTTTGTTCGCCGCTCCTCCGCCCCAAATATTGTTCTTTAGTACAGATCAGAACCTCTCCTGTCTGGCTCTCTACTTTTGAAACGTCAGTCATCAGCAAAAATAGCAGCATCTCTATATCGAATCGACACAGATCTTTGTGTTGTCATCTCCTCAGGGGCGTAGCTGGAAATTCTGGGCCCCATGAAAGAATCTATTTGTGGGCCCCCAATCCATGCGAGTGCGCGTTAGCGCGCACGCTAAAAAAAATGTGGCCATTTATTTATTGCATTGCACTAGCTTTTTTGCTGTAGCGGCCGGGTTGCTGCCTTTCTCAGCAGAGTGCTAAAGCCCTACCTGTTACACGCGCAAGTAATTCGAGGAGGCGCGAGTGACAAGTGTTGAGCTATTGGTGGGGACAATTCAGGATTCTTGGATACTGGTGGGGTCATGACCTTGCGTCCACCCCCTAAACGACACGATGAAACCCAACCTCGAAAACCCTGTTGAAGTTAATGAACTGTAATGGACTGCAAGAAATCAACATGCACTGACTATCGACTTTATCTTCTGTCTATTTAATTGAAAATTACACCCAATACAGGAATGAACAAACAAAAAATCTCAACATTCTTTGACTTATTAAATTAAGATTTGAACAACACAAGGACAAAAGTATAAATTAACTGAAGATTTGAACACAATTATAAAACAATAAACTCTCAGGACATGAACACACTTACAGCAAACAATGAAAAATGTAGTGCTAGAGGACTATGCATCAGATAGTAATTGTTCACAATGTGGGCTGTAGCCTGTCAGCTTACTATAGGGAAACATCCCACAATCCTGTCATAGACTGGATTTGTATCCCTAAATCCCGAACGCCAATCGCCGGACCTTCTTGGTGGCAAAATCTTTTACGAGCTCTTTGAAATCAAGTGACAGAGCCAGCTTGCTTTCAATCGATAACATTGCAAGGCTGTTCAACCTCTCTTGCGACATGGTAGATCTTAAATAGCTCTTGATAAGTTTCAACTTACTAAATGATCTTTCACCACCAGCTACGGTAACTGGGAGCGTCAAGAAAATTCTGAGGGCAATGCAAACGTCTCCAAAAATGCTCTGGAGTTCCATCTTGTATATTGCATTCAGTAGATCAAGAGAGCTACAATCAGGGGGGAAAGTGGCAGAAAATATTTTATTGAGATGCCTTATCTCTCTCTCAAACTGATCTGTGAGATCCTGTGAGTATTTCTCCCTCAGTGGCTGACACACAGAAGCCATGACACTGTCACTCAACTTCCCAATTTTAAGTATGGCAGCAAATTCTTCAACAATATTTGCTGTTGTTTGGAACCGAGTGTCCAAGTCACTTATGATCTGGTCCATGGCAGTGAAAAACACAGTGTTACGGAATGTTGTTTCTGGCCTATCCTCCTGACCTGTTCCTTCAGCAGTTTCATCATGAAACCTCTTCCTCCTCCTCTCACGGCAAAGTTCTTTTTTGAAATGAGGTGGAACCTCCCTGACTGGAGTATCACATTTCTGTCATCAATAGATTGCAATACTTTCACCCAAATGGTGAGAAGGACAATGGCATCAAATGACATGAGGTAGTTCCTCAGACCAACAGCTTCAGATCTGGCCTCACCTGTGAGACTGCATGAGCTCAGTATGGTAGCAAGGGCTTCAATGACACCAGGTAGGTGCTTTGCTACAGGTTTCATAGAATCAGGTCTCGCACTCCAGCGAGTGTCAGATAGCCTATGTACAGAGCAACCTGTTTTCTTTTTGTATATAGACCAACGAGATGGACTGGCACTTACAAATGTGTAGAGGCGGTTAATGTAACCAAAAAAGTTGGACACTTCAGGGCTCGATTCTGCAGCATGCACGCCTACCATATTCAACGTGTGGGAGGCACAAGGTGAGAAAGTAGCAAGATTATTCTTTTTCAGTATTTGAGCTTGGACTCCCTTGATTTTCCCTGACATATTCGCCCCATTATCATACCCTTGCCCCCTGCAATCACTAATGTCTATCCCTAGATCCAGAAGCACACTCTCCATCATGCCTGCTATTTCACATCCTGTTTTTCCGTTGAAATCTTTGAATTCAATACATCTTTCAGTGATCTCCCATTCGCCTGTGTCTTCATTATAATGTACATATCTTATGAGCACAACATTTTGCTCGGTGTGGGAAATGTCAGGCGTTGCATCACAAATGATTCCATAGTATATGGCATCCTCCCTTTCCGTCAGAATGGTTTTTAAAACCTTTCCCCCACACAATTCAATAAACTCGTTCTGGATGTCTGGGCTCAGATAATGAGTTAGCTGGCTTCCTTTTTTGGATGTCCTGATTTTGTCTAAGTGGTCTTTCAAGAGTGGATCATATCATGACAAAAGTTCTAGCGTACCTACAACATTTCCATTGTGGACATCGCCCAAAGCATGCGTTTTACCTCGGAAAGCTAAATTCCTCGTTGCCAAGTGCAGAGTGACATCAAGGAGTCTCTGCAAGATAGCTTTGTTTTTCTCAATTTCAGACTGTAGCTCTCTCTGCAACTGATGATCAATGCCACATGCAGTCATAACCGAACACTGTAGGTGTTTCCATCGCAAATAACAGTCCCTGTGATTCCTACTTGTTTCATGGCTTGGGAATTTATCATACATGCGACGCCACTCGACGTCACACATCTTGTATCCCTGGTCACTACTCAAAGCACTAAGAGAGGGTATTTTTTGCTCCTTGGAGAAAAGAACACATGGTATGCAAACAGTGCATTTGCACTTTCACTGTGAATCAACCAGTCCCTTTTCACTTTTCCCCTACCCTTATCTGCTTTGGTGTATTTCAAGTAATCTGGAAATCTCTTTCCCTTTGAATCATGTGGAAATTCTTGATCTGTTTCTCGCATTGCTAATTTATTTACAATAGTTGCCCTGTCCTTGTCA